TACTAACGAACACAGGGTTACCCCATGGGTATAATTACTAACTCATCATATGCAAATTTGTTAATGACACATTTAAAAAAGCACCAACTTTCAAACTCGCAGACAACCCGTCCCACTGGATGAGACTCAGTGATGATATTTTTGCTGTTTGCACACACAGAGAGGACAAACAGTCTCACTTCCTATGATAATCCTATCTCCCTATCTTAATTAACAGCACCACACCATTTACAGCAGAGTATACCTGAAAGATGGTTATTTACAGATGTATTCCAAACCCTAGAATTCACACAATAATTAGCATAGATTTTAACACTTGTCACATCATTACCATATCAAATGAACCATTCCATTTTGCCAACTCTCAAGAATCAAATGAATCTGTTCAAAGAAAAGCAGAATAATATTTACCTCTCTAATTAGTAATTACTTTTCACTGTGAAATGATATCAACTCATCCAGGATGCGGTCACTAACATGACTAATCAGTGTAGGCAATCTCCCCTCACTAAAACTGCTCCATTCAACTTGACTCAACACCAGGGAGATAATAGAACTTTAGTGATCAGATATAATCCCTTGCTGCCTGATTTCAAACAAAATTCAACACGCCTATAACCCACTAATTCAAACATTTGAGACAGGTTTTAAAATCATTTGCTATAGATGCTGTCCTAACTTTGGAGATATGCTGAGCAGTGCTAAATTTAAAGATGACTCCTTTAACATTAACATATACATACAAAGTAACATCAGATGATGTATCACATGTGTGCATAATTTGAATAGTCAACTCTTTTATAGTAATCAAATCAACAAGGCTTTCAATATTAATATATCACTTGTAACACAAGTCATTTCTATTATCCAATGTAATATGTGTTAAATACAGTACATAGGCAAAATGGTAACAAGCTCAAAACAAGACTACTTTAACATTGATCAACTATCTTGTCTAATAAGGACTATTTACAAATACCATGCCATTTCAACAGTCCATGACACAGTAATTTATTGATATAGAAACCAATAGTAGGTCCATGGGAAGGGGCTCCTTCAGTCACACTACAGAGGTCAAAGCCATGACCCACCCGCAATGTAGGTCAATGTCTTGACCTTGATGGGTCAAGGAGATGCTGCAAAGCCAAAATAGACAGGAGGTGAACAAGAAGATGGTCGCCGAGCCCTGAAATGGGAGGCAGGATGGAGTCCAAAAATTAAATACTCATCAACATGCACATTTTGCAATACAGCAATGCAACTGTTTTTCTAAAGAGTTTATATTATTTAATCCATATCCAACAATTACAAACTGAGGACCACTATATAACTAGTTTTGAGATGAGACTCATTTAATTGCATCATACACAGATTAGAATGATATTTTTAAAAGAAATATTCAGAGTCAATTTTGTCATTATAGCCACATGCTACTCTCAAGTCCCAAAAAAATGTATCGGTACGTTTATTTATTTTCCCAAAAAATTCCACTTAGTACATTCTTATTTGGGATGGTACGTTTATTTATTTTTCAAAATCGGGAGGATTAAAAAAATTTCTGATTTTTTTTTCTGAAGGCAAAAAAAGTACAATCTTCGATGTGAAGACGTTTATAAACATGCGCGTAAAACGACAAAGTTGATGTTCTGACAGCGTCATTCTCCCTTGGAAAAGGGAGGCCCCAGACGTGTGCGTCTTAGCCTCAGCTGGAGAAGGCCGAGCCATACGCATGGTTTAGAGCCAAAGGGAACGCTGTTTGTCAGCTTACAGTGTATTTGCTTCGATGTTTTGTAATTACGGTATCTTGCTTATCGCCAGCTACGAAAGTCACACTAGAGAAACTTGATTGATGCAGCTGACCAGCCCGTGCATTTTTATCAACGCTCGACGTCACGCAAATTGAGAAAAATATTGTCTTTGCAACTTATCAAATTTTGCAGAATATGTCACCATTGTACTGATTGACTGGAAAGTTTCTCACCCAGGCCAACTCGGGTACTGATTGGTTTGCTATTTGATTAGATCTTGCTGACCGGCAAACAGAGAAATTTGAAGTATATTACTAGAAAGGCATCATTTGTTGTCTATTTATATTCGTAATTACAAGAGACAGTGAAAAGTGTGCATGTACACCAGTAAAAGCACATTTCATAAGCAAGAGAACAATCTATCGGTCATTTTGGAAATTTTCGGGGGTGGGGTGATTATTTCGGGGGGTATGTACATGTACCTACATTCCAGGTATAAAGGTTTATGCTGGGTCCCATCTTATCACTATATTTTAATTTTTTTATTTTTAGGTTATCATTGTACACATCTGAAAAACATAATGTATAAAATAGATATAGAAAATGAATATGATTTACCACATCACAATGGTAACTGTGGGAAATTAAATGAAATCATAAAATGGTTGTCAAAAAAAGTGATTCTGATGACTTTTTTTCATTTGTTTCCATTTCCATATCTGAGTACTAGTAATTTGACAACCAAGCTGATCATGTTTTCACACAGAATCTTTATAGTAAGAAAGTAGTTTGGTTCAGAGTAACATAAAATGGTTTCACATCAGTGTTATTGAGACTAACATTATGTTAAAGACCGACTGATTTAATATTATCATCCTAATTCTATACATTATGTTACAGTACTTGTCTTGTTTTTATTTTCTTAAAGCAGCCAACGATTACAAATATATTTTGTACAAAAAAGTTACATCTAAGATTGGG